AATGGAGGGTCAGAAAGACTACTACATCACAGGAGAAAGCAATAAAGCAGTTGAGAACCCTCCATTTTTGAAGGGTACAATGGAAAGGAGATTGTATCGGCAACCAAGGAGAAAAAGGAAAAAAATTTGTTTAAAAATCGATTCCTTTTTCAGATTTTGAGAGAGGGAAAGGTCGTTCAATGGGATTTTGGTTCCCATGTACCAAAATACCCATATTAGTTTTTTAGATTTATGTAGGACCCACAGAAGATTCATTTTTCTAGGTAAATTATACTCATCTCCTAGATAGACAAATAATTTTCTCACTCAAGAGAAAGTTGATAACACTTGGATAAAACAAAATTATCCCTTTTAATAATGATTTTTTATGATTAAAACGATAGCCTAAGAAATAAAAGAACATGGTAACAACGAAGTAGGGCTTATGAGTCAAGGTGGAGGGGATTGTCATTTCCTATAGAATTGTCGACTCTCCTCGTCGCCTGGTGACAAGGGGTATACTTATAAGCACTAGTATTATATAAGATATATACTTGCCTTCCATACAGATCATAAAAATTAAATTCAAATGCAATACCATATATCATATATGGTTTAATTCTCATTTGCACACTTTCTTCAAAAAAAATCTCACTTGCACACGTGCATAGCATTAAACCATATATGATATGTCCATATATTTTACTTGCATAGGTCCATGGCACTTGTCTTTACACTAATAATAAAAAGAAGAAAATTATTACAACATTGACCCTTGTAAACCTAAAAAGAAAATAAATGTTCCATAAATATAAAAAGAGAATAAATGAGTTCACAACCACAAACCATCACCCAAGAGGAATCATCAAGTAAGCTTAATAACTCTTTGGTCCCTCCCTATTCAATGGGATGATAGAGATTGTCCTTAGCAAAAGGTTTGTTATTTATCACACTTTGGTGCGTGGTTTGTCCAACTACATTTTAGCATTCAACTTCAGCAAAAATTTGATGGATTTTGATTAGAGGGTAGGTCGGTAGGAAGGCCCCCCTAACTGCTAGAAGAAATTATCCACAACCATGGTAACCATGGTTCTGAGCTCGAATCCGGAATCCTCCTCAATGTGCAGTAGAGGATTTCATAAACCATGGTTTTGAAAATTGGACTGGACCAGATGGTCAGACTTGATTTGGGAATTGGTCAGACAATCGATTCTGTTTCACCCCAAAACCTGTTTTGGGCCAAAAATCATTGATTTGATTAGTGATTCATTGATCTGAGCGGTCGAACCGTCAATTCAGATAATGGTTTTAGCTGTTTTATTTTAATTATTTTTTAAAATCAGAACCAGTCATTTGTTCAAATTAGATGGTCGGATCGTTCAACCCAGGAACCAGTCCCTAAAATGGTTCCATGTCCAGTCCAGTTTTTAAAACCTTGCATAAACCTGTTGCGACTACGCTAGGCTTGTCAATTGGTGGTTCTGGTTTGGGCCAGGTCAGAATAAACTCTATCACAAAGCAATAAAAGAACATGAAGACTTGGACCTGGCCCAAACGGTCCCAACCTTGCCCTGATAGTCCAATAGACCCAATTTGAAGCATTATTGGCCATTGCATTGAGCATAACTTATATATACTGAAACATGAAATAAAAACAAATAATAGAGAAATTTGTAGTTTATTTCCCGTAAAAAAAAATATCTATTGGTTTTCACTTTTCAGAATGTATTATCCCAAACTATCACCTATACTATAATACCCCCTTATCTTGTGATAGATGACCCCATCTCTATCTATCTATAAAAACCGATAATAAGCCCATATGTTTTCGTATGGACTATGGAGGACTCTAGCTTAAAGCTTGAGTTACAACCGAGGGCAGAAGTTTTAGATGTCCAGTCCATGCTAATTAATTAATTCCAAATGTATTTAGCAAAGTTGCATTTAAATAATAAATATATTACTGCTTCTTCTTCTTCCTGGTTGTTGAGAAAGTAAATTTGGTTTATCTCCAACCTGCCATAATTTCATGGAGCCGAGTTGAGCCTAGTGATGATCGTGTAAGTTTGTGGACCTAAACACCTCTCATCGTGTAAGTTTGTACCAATAAAAAGAGTAAAATATTTAAACATATCCTAAGTTTTTATAAATTGAGATTTATACATACCCTGAGTTTTGCAATTAAACTTGAATATACATTTCCACCTTTATCTTTGACAGTTTGAACAAAAAGAAAGTTTTGCCCTTAGTTGTGAAGTGAAACAGGATTGATTGTGTTTTACTTTAAAAGACACTACCCCACAAGCTCTACTTTCTTAAATATAAAGAACCAGTCATCATCTATTTATTAAAATGGAAGAAAACAGAGGCAAATGGACTGTCCTGGGCCCTGGCTGATTCATGGTCTTCTTGTTAAGTTAATAAGCGACCCTTTTACTTCTAATTTCTAACAGCCCAATCATATTATATGGGCCCATCTCAAGAGTCCAAGGCCGGAAGCTGTTTCAAGTCGGATGAAGGTTTTCATTTTACAGACTACTTCATGAGGAGATTGATTACCAACCATTTGTATGAATACGCAACCTTTGGGTTGGTAGGCTACTGCAAGGACTGGGACACACTGGGGGCATCAACTGTGCTGTGGTCTGCATCCGACCTACTCAGCCTCACACAATTTTGGGGCTCCAACCGGATCGATTTGAATTGAGTAGTGGTAGATTCAAATTCGATTTGTTTATATTTGAATTCCGATTGAATCTTGTCCATCGGATTTATATTGAATTCATATTGCAATGGATATTGAATAGCATAAGAAAATTAAATTTAAAACTGATCAAAATATTATATGTTATTAATGAGAAGAATTAAAAATTGCTTTCATATTGTATTTCATGAACAAATTGAATTGAAAATTGCTTCTATTAAACTTGAACCTATGATAATTAAGACCTATTCATGGGTCAGTCCCATTCAAATTTTGCTAAAAGTTAAGCCTGTCCAGGAACAGGTTTAATGACAATAGTAAAAACATAATTTCCGAGCCAATTTTAATAATAAACACAATAGAATTTTTTTTAAAATATATATGAGCATATATATTTAGACAGAATCAAATTGGATTGTATTAAATCGAATAGGGAGTGGACCCATATTTGGTCCAATTATAAACAGACCAAATTCAAATGACCCTTAATTGATCCCATTTGAATCCGAATTCAGACAATGGAATACCGTTTGCAGCCCTAATGCTCAATCCAAGGCACAGATTAGTAGTAGCATTATATGAAATATCTATCGATTTGGCAGAATAGTATTCTTAGATGTGAGAAGCCCTTACAATGAAAAAAATTTATTGCTTAGTTACCAACAAAGAGAGCTCCGGCTGAGGGAGAACTCTATGTTGAATAGGTGCTGCTCTGCTAGAGAGCTGTTGATCATCTCGCTGCAAGAGAAAACTGATCTTACTTAGAAATTGTTTTCTGTTTTTCCTGATAGTCTCTTGTCTGTGGTTCGGTTAGAGAGGAGTCAATGGAGATTACTGAAGCAGGAAAGGAGAAAGAACAACCAAAAGCACTGATCGAGAACTCTGAGAAAGGGTTGGTCTCTATGCAAAGGTAATCTCGGATAAGCCCCTTAATGTATCAGGAGTAATAGAACAAATCAAAAACATGTAGTGGTGGGTTAAAGGGGAGATACAGATAGAACGAGCAAGTGAAAACCTTCTATGGATTTTCTTTTCTAGAGAAAAAGATGGAAAGAATGTGACGAGGGATGAACCGTGGGTAGTGAAAGAGCCTCATCCTGAAAGAATATACTGATGACATCTTGCCTTCAGATGTAAAGCTAAACACTCTGGACATGTGGGTAAGAATTCTGTATGTACGAATGGCCTACAGAACCGAAGAATCTGGAGCTCTTCTGGCTCAGACTGCTGGGGAGGTGGTGGAGATGTTTGAGACTAAGAGTGAAAATAGACATTACAAAACCACTTGAAGTGGGAGCAAAGGGAAACTTAGGGGACGGGAAGGAAAGCTGGTTCTCATTCCAGTATGAGAACTTACCAATCTTCTGTTACAAGTGTGGAGTGTTGGGGCACCTCAAAAAAGCTTGCAAAGATACTACAGATACCAGCAAACAAATGGAATCCTTAACTACCAAAATAAAGGAACAATGCTTGGACGAATCCAAAGCCTTGACTGGATATGGGCCATGGCTGAGAGATGGAGTTGGAGAAGAAGATGATAGGTTCCTGAATATTGAGAAGAAGAAAAAAGAACAAGGAAGAGCCAAGTCTGAGATCCACAACCAAAAAGAAGAATCCACAAATGAAGGAAGAACAGCAAGAAAACCAGGAGAGGTCTCAGATGAAACCAGTTTGGATGGCATGGTCGAATGAAGAAAAGATCTGGAGGATAGAACAGAAAGTGCAGAATGCAAAGATCTTACCAGAACCCCGGTGAGAAGGAAGCTCTTCAATGAAGAGTACGGCAATGAAGAGGGTCTGACTCCCATGGAGGAAACTCACCGGAGCTTCAATGTAGTTCTGTCTCCGGCGAGCTTTTTCCGGCAAAGCAGGCCGAGCAGAGAGGAGGTGACGTGGAAGAGAAGCAACATCAACACCAGCCGCACAAGTTTTTCCTTGCCTGGCTAGTGGCTACCTAGGAGGGAAAGGACAAACAGATCTGGTTACTGATCTGCACAAAATGGGTAAGACGTGCCTAACACTGCAAGTCTTTCCAAACATGGAAGGTGAAAGGATTTTTTCGAAAACAGAGGAGAGGAAATGCTTATTTCTATCAAAAAGAAAACAGAGGATGAGATGGAAGCATCCTCAGAAGTTATCGATAGCTGTGCCAATCAAGAAGAGAAAAACAAGGAAGGTGAAGGGATGGACACGCGCAGGCGATCTGATACAGTGAACACAGACCAGAATCCGGATCCAAACCCAAATAAAAACCTGGAAGCAAACGGGGATCCAAATCTGAATCCGACCACGGTTTCTAACCTAGACAAAAACCCAAACTTGAAAATGGACTCAGATTTGGACCCAAACCCAAATCACCAAGAAAAAAACTGTGGAAAAGGGGATCTTCGACTGACTGAACTAAGCAGAGAGAAGAGGGGGAGATCTCTGAGCCAGGAAGAGGAGGCGCAAGACTTGACCAAACGAAGGAAGAAAAGGGCCAAGCAATGGATGATATTGAAGGTGAGATCCTCAGCTTCTTCAAGAGCGATATTGAGCAACAAACACCAATCACCACAACCTGGAGGCTGGAGCTGGCCGGCGAACAGTGAATAAGTATGTCAAACCCAGTTGGTTAAATCTACTTCACTTTTTTTCAACTCAAATGAGCTCTCACTAGATAGCAATATGAAAATAAATTTCTTGCATGGTACAGTAGATTTGTTGCCAACTTCCATGCCAAATAAGTGGATCTTGCACAAAAAGAAAAAAGGGAGAAAAAAAGGAAAAATGAAAAAACCTGAAATAAAAAATTAAAAAAAAAAATGGTGCTCAATGTTTAAATGTTCACTAGGAAATAACAGTATAAACACAAAAATCCAAAATAGTCCAAAAATGAGTACCTTGTGGAGAATAATTGTCGGAGCCACAAAAAAGGAAAAATTATCTGGTCAGCAAGATTAAAGGTAATGGAATTAGAGATAGACTGTTCAAAACTCTATATTTTTTCTCCTTGTACAAAAAGGAAAATGCAGTTTTTAGGACAAAAGGAAAAAATTTAAAAAACTTCAAAAAACATCAAATGCAATCCAATTATGTTGAATTAAGTACTCGGGATCTTAGTGGGCTTGCGGGAGTTGACCCCAAACAACTCCCTATGGGGAAATGAGGTCATCTGCTGGAACTGTCAAGGTGTGGATCTCCCTTGACAGTTCGATCAGCAAAAGAGGCCCAAAGGAAAAGTAAGCCCAAATTGTCTGAAACAAAGTGCAGTTCTTAGTTTGTAGGATTGGAACTGCTGGGGTGTACATAACAAGGGTTTGGCAGGTGGTCTAGCCCTCTTCTGGGATGCAAGTCTGAGCATTAATGTTCTAGCAGCAAATAAAAACCTAATTCACACCAAAATTGTTGAGGTTTCCAAGAGTGAAATTGCACCTTTGTTTATGAAGAACCAGAGAGAAATAAAAGAATGCAGTTTATTGAGAAAATAAATTTCTTAGCAGGCAGAAACTTAGGGCCTTGGTCTTAAGGGTGTAAACGGTATCCAATTATCCGATTCCGAATTACTTAATTGAATCGAATTCAAATGGTTCACGATCGAATTTGAATTTATACATTTTACCGATTAGCTTATTGAATTCCAATTCGAATCAGTGTTGATCCGATTCAATTAAAATTCTAATTCGATTAATTATATACATTTAATATATATTAGTAATAATTATATACATATAAAGTCTTAAAGAATGCTCACTTCCCTCATAAAAAAAGCTGACAAATGATGTCACCTTCACCTACCTACTTGAGTGGTCACCCTTCCCCTCTCTCTCCCTCTCTCGATGGCCCTTCCTCTCCCCTCCCTCTCTCTCTCTCTTGTCCTTTCCTCTCCCTCTTTTAAGTTTTAATTTCATTCTTCTTCCTCCTCTTCTCTTCCTCCCTCTCCCTCCATCTTTTCTATTCGCACTTTTCTTCTCTTCCTCTCTCTCTCTCTCTCTTTTATTTCCAATCTTTGCAAACTATCAGCACCAATGGCAGCATCAATGATAGCAGTCGAGCCACTACCATCTCTTTTGTCGCTGCTCAAACTCAAACTCAACGCCTCAAGGCCCTCAACTGTCCAACATCAAGGGTCATTGTTCTACAACAGTCCAACATCACCGGCCAACACTGCTCACTACCATCGCATTTGCACCGTCAAGAACCCATGACTGTCGCCGTCACACACTCACACTTGGCCCACCGCTGAAAACCCATGACTACTGCCGTCAATCCCATGCTTCTTTTCTCAAGCTAATTATTTGCTTTTCTTTCCAAAATCAATCATTTAAGATTATAGGCCTCATGTCGGTCGAATTCGAATTGATTCGAATATTCGATTTAATAATAGAATTCAAATTCGAATTGAAATATTCGATATCCGTCGGATATTGAATCGAATTCGAATTTGAATCTAGCCTAATTCTATTCGAATTCGATTCGTTTACAGGCCTACTTGGTTTGCATAGGTGATTTTAATATGATTTTTAACATGGATGATAAAGTAGGGGGAAAAGCAATCAAAGTGGGTGAAATAAGGAGGAATAGAAATGTTATGCATAATTGGCGGTTGGAAGAAATTCAAAGCTTGGGACCAAAATATACTTGGAACAATAAAAGGGACAAATAAGCAAATATCAAAGAAAATCTAGATAGGGGACTCTATAATATATAGTGGAAAGAAAATTATCCTAATGCAAAAATCTTTATCTTCATAAACCATGGCTCAGATCACCTCCCAATCTGTTTGGACACAAACCCAGTAACCTTTAAAATCAGGAAACCATTCAGATTTGAAGAAATGTGGCTCACCCATAAAATCTGTGCAGAGTTAATAAAAAATGTTTGGACAAAAAATCACAATGACCACATAGGTTTCAATGTTCCAAAAAAATGTGAATTACTAAGTAAAACCCTAAGAAATTAGAACAATAAAGAATTTGGAAAAGTCCAGGTGTGCATAGAGAATCTTCGGGGGGAGCTCACTATGGAAAGGGAGAAAAAGGGATCTAATTATGATCAATCCAAAGTAAATCAAATTAAACAACAATTAGATGAATGGTTAAAAAGAAAATAAATCATGTGGGCCCAAAAAGCTAGGGCTAATTGGCTAAAGTTTGGGAATAAAAATACAAAGTTTTTCCATAATCAAACAATTAGAAGGAGAGCAAAAAACAAAATCTTGAAACTGAAAGATGAAAATGGAAAGTGGATAGAGGGGCAAGAAAATATCCAAAAAATCATGGAAAACCATTTCCAAAGAAATTACACATCTTCTAGGCCTACAGATATGGAAATAGCCCTGCAAGGCATCCAAACAATTTTAAATGAAACTCACAATGAAAGCTTAGAAATGGATGTCTCAAAAGAGGAGATTAAGGAAGCCTTGTTCCAAATGGCTCCCAGGAAAGCCCGGGACCAAATGGTTTCCCAAACTTATTTTTTCAAACTTTCTGGGAGACTATAAAGGAGGATATAGAAAAAGATGTCCTAGCTTTTTTTAACTCAGGAGAAATGAACAAAAATCTCAATTCAACTTTCATAGCTCTAATTCCAAAGGTCAAAAATCTAGAAGAAGCTTCTCAGTTCAAACCAATCAGTCTGTGCAATACTGTTTACAAAATAGTTGCAAAAATTTTGGTAAACAGAATGAAGCCTATTTTATCCCTAGGAGAGCTATAACTGATAATATCTTAATTGCCCATGAAGTAATGCACTATATGACTCATACAAAAGCTAAGCAAGGCTTCATGGCAATTAAGTTGGATATGAGCAAGGCCTATGATAGAGTTGAATGGGATTTTCTGAAGTTAACCATGCAAAGAATGGGATTTGGTAATAAATCTAATGTTTGGATCATGAAGTGTGTATCCACAGTTTTCTATCAAATTTTAATAAATGGATCCCCATCAAGGAAAATTTACCCTCAAAGAGGGCTAAGACAAGGAAACCCCCGGTCCCCTTACCTCTTCCTTCTATGCTCAAAAGTTTTCTCATCTATAATAAGGGAAAAAGTGACCTAGAATGAGCTCTCTGGAATTAAAATATGCAACCTAGGTCCAACAATATCTCACTTGTTTTTTGTAGATGATAGTTACTTTTTCTCTAAAGCAAATCCCAAGGAAGTTAGTGCTCTACTGGAAGCCATCTCCCTCTTTGGAAGAGCCTCTGGGTAATAGGTGAATTATCAAAAATCTGAAGTCTTCTATAGCAAAAACATGTATCCTAAGTTCAAAAATATGGTTTCAAAAATTCTTAAAATTAAAAAAAGTAGAAAAGCCTACTATTTATCTGGGATCCCATCCTCTTGTTAATAGGAAAAAGAACCAAAATTTTGAACATATCTCAAAAAGGGTATCAAACAAAGCCAAGGGTTGGAGAGGATCCTTGCTTTCTCAAGCAAAAAAAGAGGTCCTAATGAAATCAGTCCTGACAGATATTCCAACTTATGTTATGTCTTGCTTCCTTCTCCCAAAGAGCATCTGCAATTCTTTGGAAAAAGCCAAAAATCTTTCTGGTGGGGAGATCAATAGTAGAAAAGAAAAGTAAGATAGTTAAACTGGAATCAAATCTGCAAATACAAATCAAATGGGGGATTAGGCTTTAGAGACCCTAGAGCTTTTAATCTTGCTCTGCTCTCCAAATTGGCCTGGAGACTTTGTTCTGAGACTAAAAGCTTATGGGCAAGAGTTTTAAAAGAGAAGTACTACCATGACTACCACTTCACCCACGCAAAGCTAAAAAGTCAACCTTCATGGGGTTGGAGGAGTGTCATAGAGGGGAGGAAAGTTCTAGAAAAAGGCATTTGCTGGAAAGTGGATAATGGAACCAATATTAAAGTTTGGGAGGATCCCTGGATCCCAAACATAAATGGTTTCAAATTAATGGGCCCAAGGCATCAAAATAGTGAGAACTTAAGGGTATCTGATCTAATAAACCATGAGAGTAGAAGATGGAATGATTAAATGATAAATTCTACTATACCTGCTAGTTTTACCCAAGAAATTCTAAACATTGAGATCCCCTCAAACCCTTGGGATGACAAATTAATCTGACTAGGTAGCAAAAATGGGAAATTCACAGTTTGATCACCATACTTCCTAGCTAAACAAATGCAAGAAGAAAACCAAGCAGTTCCTGAAGACTCCACACAAATTAAAAAATTCTGGAATTTGGTGTGGAGACTTCCATTAGAACCATAAGTTAAACATTTACTCTAGAGATGCTATGTAAATGGTTTAGTTGTTAAAGAAAATCTTGCAAAAAGGGTTTTAGGTGATTCTAATATTTGTGGAAGATGTGAAAAGGACATGGAAACAATTACCCATGTTCTACTCCTATGTGATAAATCAAGATGCATTTGGTTGAGGTCTGGTGTCAGTATTAATCCAAATTATAGTCAAAACTTTCCAAGCTTCAAGGATTGGTTAGTGCATATCTTCCTCAGTCTGGAAAAGACTCATCTGGAAAATTTAGCAGACATTGCTCATGTTTTATGGAGCATATGGAAAGATAGAAATTTGTTTTATTTTGAAATTGAAAATCTAAATCCCTTTGTTGTCATCTCTCAAATTTGCAGGTCAATAGTGGAGAGATATCATCTCTGACAGCAGAAATCAGAAAACTCTTCCAAGATTAGTCAAAGCATGAAGGATGTTTTTTGGACTCCACCAAAACAAGGCATCATGAAAGTTAATATTGATGGTGGTTTTTTGGAATCTTCTAGACATGCTTCTTTTGGCTTCATTATCAGAGACCATTTGGGGTGTTGCTGGGGTGCGGGTTTTGGGAAATCAAAAGTTTTGTCTCCTTTGAAATCAGAAACTCAAGCTCTCCTAAAGCGGTTGTTTTTGCAGATAAAATGAACAAATCAGATCTCATTTTTTTATCCGATTGCAAATATTTAGTTGATTGGCTAAATGAAGCTAATGGCTGTGAAGACCCGAAAATCCTCTTTTGTTGTAGGGATATAAAAGAAATTATATCTAAAAGAGACTTCACAGTTCAATTCTGTCCGAGGGAAGCAAACCAAGCAGCGCATACAGTGGCCAGATATGGCTTTTCAAGAGATTTTGAATGTAGTCTTGCTAGCCCATTGTCTCTCTAATATAGTTAATTCGGACTTAGCTTTCTGTAATCGTTTGTAGGTTTAATTTCTGGTTTTCTTTTATTGTAGTTTTTTTTTTCTGTCTTTATGCCTATCTCAGGTTGTTGTAGTGTTTGGCTTTTTCTGTTTTGAAATGAATTTCAGTTCCCACCAAAAAAAAAAAGAGTAGCCCTTACAACACTCCCTTGGAAAGAGTATGCCTTGTAAGGCTAGAGAGGGGTAGGTGTCTCATTTATAATCTACATGATTTGAATGATTTACTAGCCTAAGTTCAAACTCCTTATTGTTAGTAAAGAAGTGAATGATACATCATATATGTATTTATGAATTTTACTGAAACCTTATTATATGATGAATTTATTTAAATACAGAAATAAACATTTTATATAGAAATTATATTATTTTTTTAACATGGGAATGTATTTTTGTTAATATATATTATAATATAAAATATTGTTCTATTTGTGAATAAATTATATAAATATTAGTACATAGCACATTGCTTGTTTTATTATTGGTAAAATCTTAAGATAACAAGAGTGAGAATGTGGATTTGAGTTTGAGAGTAGTCACTTTCAAAAAAAAATGTCAAATATTAGGTCTGTTTTCGGTCCTTTTCTCCCTAGACCTTAGATAGTTGGGACCAAGATTGGGTAATGGTCTTCATACAAAAATAAAATATAAAATAAAAAAAAAGTGAAAATTTTGCTGAATACATGTTTCCCTTAGTTTTCTGTTTCTCTTACACTTTTGGTCCCAAGTAGGGGTGTCAATGGACTGGTTTTTGAATTGGACCTTGTCCAAACCAAAATCAATTTGGATGGATTGAATGGACTAACAAGAAACATTGAGTTGGAATGGTCTAGATTTGATGGTCCAAAGTATTTATTGGATTGGATTGGACCTGGTCTATCCATAATGAATTTATATTGGATTAGGTTGGATTAAGATATAGGTGTTAATGGACCAGGTTTGGCTTAGAATTAATCTAAACTAAAACAAATTTGAACAGATCGGACAGTCCAGACATTGAATTGGACTGATCCAAAATAGTCCAAAATATTCATTGAATTAGATTGGACCTAATCCATTTGTAATGGACTCACATTGGACTAGATTGAATTGGACCAAATCCAGTCCAATTGACACCCCTAGTAGTCCCAAGCCTAGACAAAAGGAGAGTTGTGCAGTTGGGCAATAAAACTTTGCCAAACTCTGATGATCATGGATCATGATTTAATAACAAATAATATATGTATGAAACTTATATTATACTTTTATGTATACAATATTAAATATAAAATAAAAACAACACATAAATATACCTTATGTTTAATCAATGAATATAAATAACTGCAGGATGGTCCTAAAGTTTTGGACCAGGCCTGGCCGGGCCTGAATACAAAGCAAGGCCAAGCCCGGAATTTCCGGGCAAGGCCAGGCTTAAAATGATCACCACTACTTGCGAACTCAGATTCTGGCCAATTTTGCGAAGTTGAAGGTGGCCTACTCCCCAAGGGGCAAGGTTCACCTATCTTGGCTGTACCCAATTGAGTTGATTTTCAACATTAGATAATGCCCACAGTCGCTGTTTTTCTCCTCCATTCTGCTCCTGTGCTCCATCTAGGCTCTAGGGGCATCATAATTAGGCCAGGTTTTATTTAGTTTAGCGCAATTAAAATAGACAAACTCGTATTCTAAATATTCTGTTAAGGTACGTTTGTTAATTTATGGGAGGATGTATGTTTTAATAAATTGGTACAGTGGATGTTCTCTGTATGCTGCTGTTGGCAGCATAATTCGCGCTGCTTTGCTTTGTTTGACAATTGTTTACAACTCAACTTGGCTAAGGATGCCTAGGTCGCATGTGAAAGTGAAACAAAACAAAGTAGATTGATTTTTTTTTTTTTTTTTCTTTGGACCAGGTGCCTTCCACTCCTCAAATTGGGACACTAGTCAAACTGAACTTCACTCCCAAACCTTAACCCCAATAATACGTGTAGGGTTGGGTTGGTTTGGCAGCCTTCAATCCATCTCACTCTCCCACCTCAATCCTTTTAAGTATTTTGGGACAGAGAGTATTGGGCTTAAAGTGTAAGCAAGCCATATATACCTTGTATTAAAAATTTAAAGGTAATAATTATTAAAAACGCTAAAACACTTGATCCAACCGACTTTAATACTACGCCAAAGACCAATAATTCAACCTAATAATAGATCAAATGAGGTCTCCGAATGACTTTTTATTCTTCTTCTATGGAACCTAAGACAGCAGTTCAATACATGTTGCAGCCGCTAACCGAGGCAGCATTATCATGTAGGAACTCTTGACTCAAAATGATTTTTTTCTGTTTTGTTTGTTGTTATTTCAATCAAAATTCAAACCCATACTCACTCTTTATATGTCATGACAAACTCCGTCTTCTAGAGTTCCTACGCCGACACCCTCTAACTACTTCAACAGGGCCACAATTTCTGATTTTCTGGCCAGTGTGACTCATTGCCGACAGTTGCCGACACTTGTGCCAATTGCATCATTTCATCTCAAGCCGGGTTCAACCAGGTTGGTGGCCCGGATTTGAATTGACCCCACCCACACCGGCCGCTCTCGAGCCCGGGTATCAAAGTAAGTCTCATTCTGGCCACTGGCCTAGGACTGTCTGATGACCCATCACTGATCAAATTGATCCAATTACAACTTTAAAGTCACAATCAATTACTCTTCACTCTTGAGCCGGGCCTATACCAACCCTCATTCCATGTGAGGACACCTGCGATTCGTCGGCCTTTGGGCACATACTTAATTTCAGTTTGGTAATTGTAATTGGTACCAACCTTCAACTTTCCTATGTTCCTTCCCCACCCCCTTCTACGCGTTACTATTATTCTAATTTGTTCCGTGTTCTGTTCTTGCGTGTTCAGTGTTGGTTTATTACTTTTATACTCTTGCAATTATGTCTCTCGCATCCCATTACCCCCATTTGCCTTTCTTTATCCAGATTCATCCCTTCTCTGTTGTGGATCGGGTGCATCCAAATCCATATGAATAAAGGGGCGGCTTCTTGTCTCTTGAAGTCTTGAGCCTTGCCAACGGATCGAATTGAATAGGATATTAGTATATTTAAATTTTACTTGCTTATAATCAAATTTGAATTAAGATTGTATGATCAGATATATCGAATCAAATTCAGATTATAATCAGCTATTAAATAATATAAAAAATTAAATTAAAATTGATCAAAATTTATTTATTATTAATAAGTAAGATAAACTAAAAATGACTATAATATATTTTATGAACAAATTGAGCTGAAAATTCGTGGTATGAAATTTGACCCTATAACAATTTAGTGGAAATACAGCATTTAAAGCAACTTTATTTATTGATAGATATAATATCAATTTTATAAATGGAAAAACCTATGATATAGTGAAGACATATTACCAGAAAGACTTTGACCCATCAACCCCCTCTCATGAATTTTGATGAAAACTAACATGGTTATCACTTCAGATGCCAACTGATTGATTATAAGTTTTTCTTTTCCCTGTATCATGCTTTTTTGGCATCACCGTAGAACCCTTTAAGTATATATGAGCACATATATTTAATCAAATTGAACCAGATTATACAGGATTGGGTAAAGGTGAATTCATATTTGATCCAATTATAAATGATAGAATTTGGATGACCCTTGTTAATAGGGTCAAATTAAAATTTAAATTCGGGCAATCTCAGATGATGAGCAAGGTTTAGTTGAACGCTTTGGCTGCGGGCTGTGGAACCAATGATAAAGTTTCATAGGGCCTTCACGTTTTACAGTGGAACCCATAAATTTATTATGAGCGTAGAATCTCATCATTGGTTTCACTGAACAGCCAAAACACTCAAGCTAATCCAAATTCCAATCAGATACCATTTGCAGCCTTACTCTTGACTAAACTTGTTTATGGACCAAATAGCCCGGCCCATTTTGTTTTTAATTAGGCTTGGACATAAATTTAGGCCTGCGCCCAAATTTTTTACCCAGGCTCAAGCTTTCTCCAAAAACCCAGCCCGAACCCTGAGCCCAACTTCGTAATTAATATATTATATAAAAAAATATATATTATTTTCCTCAAACCATAGTAACTTTTAAATTTTGAGATTTTTTTTAAATAAATAAATGAATTTTATTATTAAATAAAAACAGAAAAATCTTTTTTTTTTCTCAATTTTCTGATGGAGCTTTGGCCTCTCTATATGAGGGCCAGGTTCGGGTTCCAGCATGAATGTAATTATATTAATATAGCGAAAAAACACGGCCCGGCCCATAAACAGTTCTAATCTGACCACGAATTACTGATACAGGATCCGATCCGTTTCATAAGTAACCACTAACCACAAACCATGGGTCGTTTTAGTGGTTCTAAGGACCAGTCCCCCTTTTCCAGGGCAGGTAGATTTGGAAGTTGGAACCTTCCATCACGTTCACGTTCACGTTCACCTTTTTATATTTTTAATTATTATTCAATTTATTAAATATTTGGGCAGGAAAAAAGCAAGAAGGGTTAATGTGTCAATGTGACACGGTGTTTGCAGCTTTTCTTCTATTTCTTTTGATTTTGATTCCAAAAGCTATTTACTTTTTTCTTTTTCTTTATACCAATTTCCCTCCAAAGTTTATACACACGAGCGCTTTATACTTTACACCCATGTTTAGCTGTTCCTACATCCCCTCGATCGGGCATTACCTTGATCACCTCTTGCTGCTACTTCTAACAGGTCACACCCACTTGATTTGAATAGATTCAATGCACTAGATAATTTCTTCTGAGTTCTGAGAAACTTGTTTGGATGTAAATCTATCGTAATTCACGAGACGCTTGTGCTACTGCTCTCCGTAAATTGACGACTGCTGTACGTGGGTCGACAAGGTCTGTAGTGTTAGCCGTTACTGATTATTCACGTTGACGAAAATGCCCTTGACAAAGCCTCCAAATCATTTTAAAGACCACCCAGCCGGCCAGCGTGAACGTGGAGCCCAAGAAGACCAAAGAGGCCGGCATTTTGGACTGCTTCGGTGCGGGTGCGAAGTCCAATCCAGCTCGATGTGTCGTCGTTGGCCTTCTCCAAAAAACGGTCAACCTTTCCCGTTTTACGCTTTGCTCTGTGTGATTGAAACTTGAAAGGCAGGAAGAGAAAAGAATTCCCAAAAATACCTAACAAAATAAAGGATAAACCAGAAGGTAACGAAATTTTGATACAGCCAAGGAGTTTTCCGTTTTCATGGCTGAGAGGGAGTCTTGAGGGAGGGAATGACCAGTATGACTCAGCTTTGCCGGAAAATCGTCCACTTCAACGTTAAATGGAGGCTTCTCGACCGAGTTGTGTTGTTCCGCAGATTCTTTCGATTCCTATGGGACCGAATTCTTATGTGTTCTTTGGGGAAGCCACCCAGGTACCGGCGGTTACCGCGCGGCCTCACTTCCCCGTCTCCGACCACGAACGAGGGCGATATGGTGTTACGGGAACGGGTATCGACTTCCAGCGATTATGATATGGATTCGGACTTGGTGAGTCTGAAGATTAGCGTCTTGGGTGATTGTCAGATTGGGAAAACTAGCTTCGTTGTGAGTATCTATTATTTTCTTCTTTCTGGGTTCTTTATTGGAACTCTGTTTTGGAATTCATCTATGTTCATAGGTTTTCGGTTTTAGTACATTTTCACTTCGAGTTTATCTTAGTTTTCGTTTGTTTTGTGGGGTTAATACTTCCATTTTTTTTCTTTGTCTGGTGCAGATTAAGTATGTAGGAGAAGGGCAAGAACAGAGAAGCTTGCAGATGGCGGGATTGAACTTGATGGATAAGATATCGTTTGTTAGAGGTGCCAGGATTGCTTTTAGTATTTGGGATGTAGGAGGTATGTCGAATATCAATATATATATACATATATATTTTCCTTCTTAGATAAATACTAAAGATGGGTCCTTAGTCTTGAATGGATTTTCTGAACTTTTGGATGCAGGGGATTATCAGTCTCTTGACCATGTCCCAATTGCATGTAAAGATGCAGTAGCGATTTTGTTTATGTTTGATCTTACTAGTCGATGTACTCTAAACAGGTTCGTTCTGAACTTTTCCGAGAACCATTCTTATTTTCAGTCTCTGCTTGTCATCTCTGTTCTTCTTCAGTTCTAATTACCACTGAAAAAAAGGAAAGATTTCTAAATATAGTGGGTTGAGTTAATATGAGCTAGTTCTGGATTCCTTTTGTGTAGTAAAAGTGCAAGTTTCTCACTGGTTATTGAGGTGTTGATTGAAAAACTGTGGATTATCTTTTCATGATTGCAGTGTTATAGGCTGGTATCAAGAGGCAAAGAAATGGAATCAGGTAGTTAAACTCCTGCCCCTTCATTTTCATGTTTCTTTCTTAATTATTTCCAACTGGGTCTGTAGAATCAACAGGTTGCAGCAAATAGCCTTGGTTCTGAGGCCTGAGATTATCTGATAATTTTGAAAAGACCCATTTTGTAGAAGCATTTATTAGGCGTGATTAGGAATATGTCTCTGTACTTCGCTAGTTAAATTTCTGAGAACATATTTGAACAGACACCCCATTTTACAAGGGTCGTGGTTATTGAATTTTCACCGTTCTTGTAGCTGATAAACAATGAACAGGGATTATGTATGTTACTTCTTCAGCTCTGTAAATTGATTCCCGGTTATGGTTTTGCTTTGTAGACTGCGATTCCTATACTAATTGGGACCAAGTTTGATGATTTCATCCATCTTCTTCCAGATCTCCAGAGGACAATAGTGACCCAGGTAAAATTTCTAGATCCCTGATCATCAAATCGGACAATTAGCTTTACATAGAATAGTCTTGTCTCGAAATAAATGAATGGATGAAAAACCAAAGAAGAATAGGTCATTGATCTTGAATGGACCCTATTTTACTTTGTCCTGTAAAATGTACTCTCACCCCAACAAAGTCTTTGAGTTATTCAATTGGAGGGTCCCAACATTTATGGTCCATGTATGACAACCTTGTTTAATGAGTTATACCTTCTTTGAGCTCTATTCAATGGAAGGTAGTTCACCCATTTGAATGGGTCCGAGCAAATGAAAGATGGGAAATGTAGAAAAGTGGATTTTCGTGGGTCACGTACGTCTGTGGAGTGTAAAGGATTTTCACGACTTGGAGACACCCCCATCATCTTTAACTTATCCTAAGCTAAGACTCAAGAAGACAAACACTAGGCACCCATCACCAAGGACAAAGCTCTCCTCTCTCTCTCTCTCTCATATTTCTGTTGCGGGTATCCAATTGGTTGCTTTGTCAATTAACATGTATATTTGATTAAAATTAAATCTCGACATATACCAACTTTTGGACAAGACAGCACCAGATTTTGCCAAGAGTTTTTCACTGTTGTAATTTGAATTTAACATGCATTCAGTTTTGTTGTTTTCGATCAGGCAAGAGCTTATGCGCGGGCTATGAAAGCTACGCTCTTCTTTTCGAGTGCCACTCACAACATAAACGTGAACAAGATCTTCAAATTCATCACAGCCAAGCTCTTTAACTTGCCCTGGACAGTGCAGAGGAATCTGACAATCGGAGAACCCATAATCGATTTTTAATGGTTTCTTTGTTATAGACATCTCACTGGCAGACAATCTGTAAATAGAAACTCCGATGATCAGTCGTCGGAGCTCTAGTCTTCTGTAACAAGTTAACAACTAGTCTTTTTTTTTTTTTGAATTTGTATGGTGGGAGGGAGTTGTTGAGAGCCCTAGTTTCCTTTTTTTTCTTTTTTTGGTGAAGTTTCCATGTCTCGATATCACCGTCAAGTGGTGTTAATACATTTTCCAACAAATGTAGCAAGTAGCCTTCTCGTCGGAGGGAAGACAATGACCAAACGTAATGGTACAAAGATTACAATACTTCTTTCCGCATTAAATGAATCCCTTGCTGTGTTTGGTTTGACAGAAAATTGGAGCTGCAAATGTATCTGATTGTCCGAATTCTCAAAATTGAATTTGATCCTAGCATATCTGAATTCGATCACTTTATAATTGGATCTTATATCAATCCACCCTTAACCGATTTTGTATTATTCGATTCAATTCGATATAATTAAATTTTATCTATTAATAAATTTGTTTTAAATCTCATGGTTTTTACTAAATTGTCATATATTCTGATATTTTTCATTCATGTAATAAATTTGTTTGATGCCCATTCTTTATGTTTTAAGCTTAGGTCTTTATTTTATTTGATATTTTTTGTATATAAATTTGTTATTTCATTTAATAGATTGGATCAAGTTTGTTTTATTTTTAAATAATAATTCATTTTATGAATCTACATTATTTGAAATGAGCTTTTTTTCCTTTTAATGGAGCTAATTACCCTGAACTTTTTGAGAGTGTAGTTAACTACCATTTTAAGTTTATAGTTTTTCTTCAGTGAAAAGACACATGTACCAAGAAATGTATCGTGAATAAAGATTTTATTTGAAAGTAGGAATAATCGCTTTTGAGATGCTCTCAAGAAAACAAAATGCCACTTGTTTGAAGGAGAAACTCTCTAGTAAGAGGATTTGATTATGATATCGAAAAAAACTTATAACTAAGGGTGAGCATGGATTGGTTTGGTTCGGTTCGATTCAGTTCAGTTCCATGGGAAAATCTAGAACCAACCTTGTTCCAGGTTTTTGGAACTAAAACCTACCCTATGAAGGTCGGTTTTAGGGTTGATTCTAGTCTTTGTGGTTTTGAGGTCGGTTCCACAGGTGTTCATTCTTTTACTTTTCCCTTTCAGGAAAAAAAAAGCATTTTATATAGTTTAAAACTTATATTATCTTTATTGATTAAATTGAATATTTTAATATGTAGAATAGCATTATATGGTTTAAAACATATAATTTAAACTTAAATTTTGTAACTATCAATGTCGAGAGAATCGGAGAAGGGAGAGAGGTTCATGGGTCATAGGTTCAACCAGGGTCGAACCGTGATGATGTGGCATATACATAAATATACTATGGGTCATATAAATACTATATAAGCCTTTTAACTTACATTTTCTTTAAAATATGTGTATAATAATACAATATATACAATAAATAGTCATTAATTAGCATAAGTACAGAGGTGGATTAGTGGTCATTAAGTAATTCGTGAAAATAAGAGGTCTTAAGTTTAAATCTTGTTAACAATATTTTAAAATTTCACTTATATATAGACACGGGCAATTTCATGAAACTGACTAGTTCGCCGATTTTCAGCGGGTTTGGAGTAAGTTTGGTTATTGGGKTATGACCGAACCGATCAGGGCTTGGGTCACGATTCAATTGCCCGATCCGGTCTGATTGTCTAAATAATGGTAAATATTACTTTTACATTATTTTTTGTATACATTCAAATATTAAAATGAAAACAAATGATCAAATGACTGAAATCACTTAAATAATTCAATGTTGAAGTGAGACAATGGCCTTTATAACCATAAGCGCTACATTTAAATCTTCACATTCCAAAAATATTTAACGTTTATTTTAAAGCAAATTTGATTCCAAAACAGTCTCCACCAAGATCAACCAAATCTAATTCATCGAATCCGTCCAAAATCAATTCCATTCGATTCGGATGAAATCCACCCATTTACTCACCTACGTATAACGTCATCATCATTAAAATCAAATAACCAATTAGGTAGATTTTCATCAAAATTCGATGGGAGGAGAGTTTGATTGGTCAAAGCCTTTTTAAATGTCATATCTTTTCAGCACATTCAATCTCCGAGGCAATTGTAACTTCAATTCAATTTGAATTCAATATAAAACCAAGATTGGATTAGAATATAAACGAATCAAATTTTATTGAGAAACCTTCGCTCAAACCTTTTCTCACTTATTTTCCATCAAATGAAACATAGATGCTTGCTTACGTAAGTAAGCTTATAATACACAATTAATTTTTTATATAACACTTCCAAAGAGGCGGCGAATTTGGTCTTGTAAATTATTATTCAAATGAAGAGAATTACCAGACAAAGTAATCAAATGGCATTGCTAGTAGGAGTAAGCTTTTTAAAGGGAACCGGGGTTTGTTGGGGTGAGACCCATGAGATGTGTGGTTTGGATATCGTTAGGCTTTCATAGATGTTAGCCATTGTCTAGGAAACCATGGAGGACCCAACTTGTTTGCACAAAGCAAAACATGAATCTTGTGGGAAATCATGTCATGTGTTGATGCATAAAGTGGAATTAAAAGTTTCTCCCTACCTTTTGCGGGAACGCTCATGAATCTAGGTATCTGATGTCAATATAAAGGGCGTAATGCGTGCTGGAATCGATGATGGAGAGAGACAAACAATGCCCCCACCCCACCCCAAGGTTTTAAATATCGATATGTATAGATGTATTGGATGGTATTAATAGTGTTATTTTATTTTTTTTAAATTGATTCAGGGGAATCGATTTAAGGCTCTTCCATCCCTTAAATCAGTTAGAACCCCGATACACTTTTTGTAAAAATATATCGAGAAACTCCTGAAATGATGGATATCAACCGATACAGATTAATACGTATCGATATTTTGAACCTTACCCCACCCTATTTGTTGCAGTGTAGTGTGTAAGTGCATAGATAAGGATTGAAAAAAAAAGTGAAAAAAGCAATTCATTCAAAGGAAAGAGAAAACAAGAGAAAAGTCAGACACAAACAGACCAACTAAGAAGTAAGAACAATACCCTTAGACCTAGAAACTAAGTGTTAGACAATTTTGTATGCCCTTAGCTTCAATCCGATTTGATGTACTTTTGACATTTAGTGTAAATAAATAAAGTGCATGTTTGATTCATGTTGTTTGGTATAATTCTGTGTAAGACCCTAAAATTGGACACTTATAGAGACTCGTGTTAGTTTTAAATGTTCACAGCCATTGGATAAGTTTGGGGAGATTTAT